CCCAGGGCGGCCCCCGCCGGCCCGGATCGCGGAGCCGCGGAGAGGCCGAGGGAGTGAGGCCGCCGCCGGCAGAGAGAGCGCCGAGGGAGGCAGCGAGATCCGGGTGCGTCTCACCCCGCGCCTTCTGCCCGGCCCGGAGTGGGGCATGCGGCGGGCGGACCCCCAAAGTGAAGACTTTGCCTCGGAGCTGCGGCTGCTGAGGCTCAGATGCCGACTGTGAGCAGGGTGGGTTGTCCTCTTCCAGGATCTCAGGTTTGAGTGAGTCTCCGGTGTACGTACGTGTATATATGTTACGTGTAACATATATCGTATATCGCATAGCTCTTAATATATTTCCCCTCGCAACCGGCCAAAGGCTTTAATATGAGTTCCTCTCTATGTGGAAGCAAAGAAATCTTCTTTCAAGCGGAGCTACAGTTTTGCTGAATAATCACGTGTGAGTTAGGGGCGGGCTCTTGGCAAAGAGTTTCTTTACGAGTATTTACTACAAGGTCTACTCCAGAAGATTAACCATCCCAATCCTTCTGTCAGTCTCCGATGCCATGCCTGGTTAAAAAAAAAATCTCATCTTTTTCTGATCGTCAGTCACCCTAAAGAATGGCCGAGCCTTCTGGGAACGAGCTGGCGTCCGCGGCTGCCAAGGGGGACCTAGTGCAACTCACTAATTTGTTGCAAAAGAATGTAAACGTCAATGCACAAAATGGATTTGGGAGGACTGCGCTGCAGGTTGGTATCCAGAGAGGGAGAAAATATTTCATCACTGCTACCTACGTGACCCGGGTTGCCAAAAAGACAACGCTTTGAGCAGGCTGGTGCAGAAATGCGAGGGCTTTTTCAACGAGTTGGATGCCATATTTTATAACTTTAGTGGCTCCAGCTCCCTAAAATGACGTACTTGAAATAAAAGTGCTCAGAAGCAGTGGTTCAGCCGGGGGTCACCCTCGGTGGCGGACGGGCTGAGAGTTGGGTGCGATTTGGGAACTTGGAGGGGAGGAGGCAGAGAATGAAATAGAGGAGACGAAAAGAAATCACCGTAGGTGTGCAGGGCTCAGGGCAGGTCTGTAAACACCGATGTGCTATGGTTTGGAGCTGCACTTCTCGGTTCTCTTGCCCCCCCGCCCCCTCCCCCCAGCTTTCCCTCTTAAAATGTGCCTTGTCCGGGTGCTGGGCTCTGCCGCGATGGTACTTTTCCTTTATGCGCTGTTTGTGCCGAATGACCTTTCTCGTTCGGAGGCTGCACAGCACCGAGCACCTTCGATGCGCGCTCAGAGCCGCGGAGCGGCACCCCGAGCCCCGCCACCGGCGCTCCATTCATCATTAGAGCTGAAAATTGCCCTTTATCGGCTCGGTGGCGGGGCGGGGGTTCGGCTCTTTCGTTTCTGACCGTCCGTGGGGTGCCGTGTCCTCGTTTTTCAGCGTGGAGCCGTACAGGCAGCATTTGGAGCTCATCCAACTGCGAACTGTTGCAGCTGACGAAAGATTTTGCTTTTTATAATATCAGATAATGATGGCGAGGAGGGTCGAATCCGTACGGGATAGCGAAAGGAACGGTTTATAGATGAGGAGAAAGCGTGTGGTTATTAGTGCCGAAGGTGAAACAGAGGGACGTGGAAGCAGAGCTCCGGGGCTTATTAATTTCACACGTTAGAAAAATCGTTTGTTAACTCTTCTCCCCCCTCCTCGAAACCACGAGAATCATTTCTGAAATGTACTTTGTAAAAAGCAGAGTGCTTGCGGATGAACTCGAGATATTTACAGCTTTTTTTTTTCTTTCTTTCTTTTTTTTTTTTTCTCCCCTGACTTGACATCGACATGTTGCATTTCGAAAATGAGCACCTCTCGCTGACAAGCGGGGGTGGCTCTGGGGGGGCACACGAGCGGAGCCCGAGGGCTGTACGATTTTTTGGAGGCTGTTTTCACCCAAATCGGGCGCCGGGTGACCGTGCGGGCACTCGGGGCAACTTTTAAGAGAGCGAAAGGTTGGAAACCGGACGCTTAGAGCAAAAACTTTGTCAGGGAGAAAGAAACTTGCAGCTCGGGGCTTCATCCTCGGGACGAGGGCTGGAAGCCGATTTGCAGAGAGGCGATGTATTTGCTGAGAGCTGCCCGTGCCCTCCGTGGGGCCGCTTGGCACAGGGGCGCAGCAGCCGCTGCCCGGCCCCGCTCTGCGCCGCGACCCTCGGTCCTCATGGAGCAGAGGGGCACAGCCGGGGCACAGCAGGAGGGGCCGGCCGCTGCTTTCTGTACCCGAGGTGGGCTGCGGGTGCGTGGCTGCCCTCGGAACAGCTCTGTCAGTGCAGCCTCCCAAATCTAGACAGTCTCTCAATAATCGCTCAATAATTTCTCAATGTTCTCTCAATAACCTCTCAATAAAAACGGAGAGGTTGCCTAAATATTAATATTTGTGGATATATATGTGTGCCCCTGAATTTCTGTTTAATTCAGCAGCTGCTCGGCTCCTCTTCCTCTCTGCTTTTTGTTTCAGACGAGGTGCTTTCTGCAGGCCTCACTGCCCGTCCTGCCCTGATCCTCCCTGCCACAGCTACGAGCTGTTGCCTCTCCTTAGGGGAGCCGGGCAGAACGGAGCTGTGCACCCCCCCCCCCCCCCGGCTCCATCCCCTCTGTTAGCATTTTCTCCCCCCCGCATGTGGCAATGCAGCCTCACTCCCCGAGCCTGCCTTCCTCGAGCCTATTAACTCCCACTTCAACCGAATAAACTTTTTAAATCCACAAAAAATGCACCCCGAGCCCTCCAAAAATACTCCCTAAGTCATCCCAATAATTTTCCCAACACAAAGGAGGGCTCGCATTGCTCCTATTTTCCCTCCCACTCCTGCTCAGAAGTGAAAGAGCAGTGTGTTCAGAGCTGTGCTTCCCCGAGCCTCTGCTCCCTGCACCCACTCTGCCCTGCACCACATCGGGGAAGGAATGAGGTTTATTAATTAGAAGAATCATTAGATGAACTTTAATATTTTTTGTATGGCCTTAAAAAGCCAAATGCATATTTTTTCACTAGGAGACTTTGGAGGCAAATGCTCTGTGTAAATTCTGCTCAATTATTTCGCATCTAACGCACTGTAACATTAATTTATGCTGATAATTTTTTTTTTTCACAAGGTTTTCACATCAGTTGTAAGGAAACTCAGGGGGAATTTTGCTCGGATTTGACACTCACAGTGCGGCTGATGGCAAAAACAGAGCAGTGCTGCCCGAGGGGTGCGGGGTGTGGAGTCCGGACAGGCTCTGAGAAATCAAAACAAGAAAAAAAAAAAGGGAATTTGGTGAAAATCGGTGCAGGCTGTTATGTCCCGAATTAGAAAAAATTGCATTCTAATTTTTAATGATTTTGTGATGCAATCGAGAACATTTAAAGAGGCATTTTAATTTTTTTTTTCCCCTGAAAGGAACGATCAGAAAAATCCAACGATCGTTTCTGAAATAGAGATGTGTGTAACAGCAGGACGTGGCCGTGGTTTGCTTATAGTAAAATTGTAGAATCCCAATATAATCATAGAATCCATAACCATAGAGTAATTTGTTGGTTTTAGAAGAAAATGTGTGGGACTTTGCAACACTCCTTTTGACTTCTTCCCAGGTGACATTTTGAGCCTCCAACACCGGGGAGAACAATTTCTTGGAGCATTTATTTTTCTTAGCAGCCAGAACTATGGCACGGCACAAATATTTGCTTTATGATAATGCGCAGACAATGCAAACACCCGAGGGCTTATCGAAGCACATCGCGCATTTTTTATCGCTGAGGTGCAGTCTCTGCTCCTCGGAGACCCACGGCCGACGGTGAGCGGCACTGAGCGGTGGTGCGGCGGTGTCTCGGTGCGCGCAGAGCGGGCCGGGCTGCGCGTCCCTGCGGTGAGGAGCAGAGAGAACTTCTCGGGGAGAAATCCCGCCCGCTGCAGGCGTTAATTTCTGGGACAAAGCCGTCACCACCGAGCCACTAAAACTCCCCTATAGCTGCCGAGGTCAGTGAGGAAAGCTTGTAGCCGTGCGCGGGGCCCCTCAGCCCGCGGTAGGGCTCGGAGCTGCGGGCTGAGGGCTGGGGCGGCGCGGAGCCCCTCGGGCGCTCACGTCTCACTCCGTCCCGCAGGTGATGAAGCTCGGCAACCCCGAGATCGCCCGCAGACTGCTGATGAGCGGCGCGAACCCCAACCTGAAGGACAGTACCGGCTTCGCCGTCATTCACGACGTAGCCAGAGCGGGTTTCCTGGACACTTTGCAGACCCTGCTGGAGTTCCACGCCGACGTGAACATCGAGGACGCGGAAGGCAACCTGCCGCTGCACCTGGCGGCTCAGGAGGGCCACGTGCGGGTGGTGGAGTTCCTGCTGCGGCGCACCCCGAGCCGCGTGGCGCACCAGAACCGCCGCGGCGACACGGCGCTGGACCTGGCCCGGCTGTACCGGCGCAGCGCCGTGGTGCGGCTGATGGAGGGCGGCCCTCCGCCCGCGGCCGACGCCAACTGAACCGGACCCCCTCGGACCTTGCGGCTCCCAGCCTCATTCTTTTATTATTTTCTTTTTTTTTTTTCCCCTCCTTTTTAATAACTTTTGGTTCAACCCTACTTCTATTTTTTTTTTTGGTTGTTGTTGTTGTTATATTTTTTGAATAGTCGATAGCGTGAGTTCGAGAAGTTGTAGAGGTGGGGTTTTAGCTGAGGAACATGATTTCAGTGCACGGTGGCGGCACGTTGCTGCCGCTCACGGCACTCCTTACCCCGCCGTGCCCACGCCGCTGCTCGCACCGGGCTTCCAGCACCAGGCTCTGCAATGTATCCCCGCTCATTACTCAGCCATTAACCCAAACGCTGCGTATCCATCGCTTAATGTTCCCTTTCCGCTCCGGTGAAAGGAAACAACCCGCGGGGATTCTTCCCCCTCTTCCCCGTGCACCTCATCACCCCCGGCTCAGCGTGTTGGGGTCGGGTGGGGACCGGGAGCGGCCCGGCCGGGGGTCACCGGGCCCGGGAAAGCCGCTTCGGGCAGCTGCCTCAGTTTGACACTAACAGGAGCTCGCAGGAGTAGGTCGCTAGCTTTCTAAATGTAGATGACACTTTTTCATTTTGTGTATTTAAACTTTCACCGAGCTGCCTTTGAGTTTAGTTACCAGAAACAACATAAGTGGCTTTTTTTTTTTTTTTTTTTTTTTTTTTTTTTTTTTTTTTTTTTTTTTTGGCCAGAGGTTTCGAAGAGCTCGGTTGGGCACCCCGCGCCGAAAAGTACATTATTTTCCAGTTTCAAATAGCAGATAACCATGGGCAGAGGTAGGAGCGTGAGGGGGCTGCAATACTACAGCTCCTCCCGTCCCTGCCTGAGCTGAGTGCCGTTTCGATGCTCGCTTTTGTTTTGTCTGGGGGAAAAAAATAAAAAGGGATGATAGCTGGATCTTAAAGGTATTTGGATGCAATGGAATTTGGGAAGCAACACGTTAGGTACCCTTGAGGTTGTCTTAATGCATTCACCTGACGAACAGTGTAATTCCGGAACTGTTTTCCTTCCAGAACAGCCGTTAGGTTCCTAAGGCAGAACCGCCGGGGCCGCAGGGAGCAGCGGGAGGGGCGGCGGATGGGAACCTCAGCGTGCTCTGCGCTGCGGGTCCGACTGTCGGTGGCACAGGATGGGAAGGGCTCACATCAGTGTGAAAGGAAAGACTGGCTACAAAACAGCACAAAAAAGACAAGGGGTGTACCTTGCTTTACATTTTCTTTCTAAAAACAAAACAAAACGCATATACACGGTCCCTCAAAATGAGTTACCATTGTTTTCCAGCATCAGTAATTGCCTGGACCTGTCCATCCCGTCGCTGTACTCTCACAACCACTGTGTTCTGCGTTCTCTGATTAAAAACCTCTGTGTACCGCAATGCCTCGAGCGGTTCTGTTGGCACATTTGTTCCCGAAGGGCTGCGGACCCTTCCCCACTCCCGCAGGGGATGGCAGCACGCCGGGGCGCTCACCGCCTCTACTCTCCCCTACCTGCGCAGCCCAGGACCCCCCCAGCCCCAGCGGCGCCCCGTCCTCGCTCTGCCCGCACCCCCGCCCCGCCCTCCCGGTGCCCTCGGGATGCTCCCGGAGCGCGGTGCGCGGCTCTCCCGATCCGCAAAGCCTATCTCTCGGCAGCGATACGGTACACTGACACCTCTTCCCCCGCTCTTGGCACCGGGGAGGGGAATGGATGTTGGAAACTCTCCGGGGAACCGGAGCGGGGGCTTCCCTATGTGCTGCGGTGCTCCTCAGTGGGGATCCTCTGCCCCAAACGGTTCTGAGCTCGGACGTGGTCCTGGAATTGGCTTTTACGACCCTCTCCTCGCGCTCTGGCAGCGGCAGAAAGTCCCATTTTACAAATCCTGTTGGTGACAACGTCAACAATAACATTCATCAGAGGATGCAAACACACAGATGGAACGAAATTTTTTAAAAAAAAAAGCTTTTATTGAGACAGAGACCATCAGAAAAAAAACATCTCCCGGGCAGGAGCAGCCCAGGGGCAGCGCAGCCGGGGCCGTGCACATCATAACCGCAGCGAGTGCGGTGCGGAGCGATGGGGAACAAAACGCTGCCCTGGGCACGGAGCCCTCTCCTCTATTTCTGGATGCGGAGCTGAGCTGTTTCATTGACTTTTGCTTCTAAATTACAGAGAGAGGGAAAGCTGAAATACATCCGAAAAGGAGCAGATCCCGGAGGGATGCGGTGGGGAACTGCCCTTGGGTCCGGGGGAAGGGGGGCTGGGGGTGAGCCCCAGCACAGCAAATGGGGGCAACGGGAGGGCAGCGTTCCGTGAGGCTTTGTGCGCTTTTCTGTGCGGTGAGAGGAAGGATGGGTGAGTCGTTCCGTGCTGGGGTGAGGAATTATCTTCGTGGGAAACGCCGTTGCAGTGCTCTTGTGAAGAAAGGGTTAAAACAGCAGAAAAGCGCCACTTTGGAGCCTCTAAAAGAAAGAGGGGTGCCTCTGCTAGCCGTCCACCCCACGGTTCGATGGGGCCGGGGAGCGGTCCAACGGTATATCCACTTCCCAGCGGAGTGTGATTGCCATGGAGAGCAAACAGAAAAAAAAAAAAAAAAAAAAAAAAAAAGCCAAGAGAGGAAAAATCTGCATTTATTCTGAGGGACCGCGGCACTGAGCGAGGCGGGGGTGGAGGGAAAGAAAACAGAAAAAAAAAAATAGAAACAAAGAAAAAAATAAAGAAAAAAAAAATAAAAAAGAAAGCAGGGAAGCGAGCGGGCAGCCGCGGGCAGCGCGATGGTTCCGGGCCGCCGCGGGCAGCGCAGCCGAAATCCCCGCGCAGCGCCGGGAGCCGCCGCCCGCTCTCAAAATGTCGGTGGCGGCGGAGCGCTGCGGCGTCCCCCGGGGAGCGCGGCGGAGCGGGGCCGCCCCAGAGGCCCCCGGGCTGGGGAGGGGGGGGGGGGCAGCGCCCGGCTCCGAAACCGTTAGCTCGTCTCTACGGTTCCTTTCCCCTTTCTCTTCCTGTCCAAATATTTTTAAATTTACGCGCCTTAACTAACAGTCTGATTTTATTTCGCGAGTTTCCTCCGCGGGCTCCACCGCCGCTTCCCTCCGGCCCCCCCGCCGCGAGGGGCCCGGCCCGGCCCGGACGCCCCGCTCCGCAGCCCGACCGCGGGGTTACTTTTCCTTTTTCTTTCCTTTTTTTTTTTTTTTTTTTTTCCTTCTTTTTTTTTTTTTTTTTTTTTTTTTTTTTTTTCCCATCCCTCTCCCGGAGCCGAAGAGCCGCAGTGCGGTGAGTACAGCGCGACTCCCCCGGCTCTTAGGGACCCCCCGAGCCTCTCATTCCTGTGTCTCAAAGGCAAAGAAATTGCCCCCGGGTGCGGAGTGCCGCTGCCGCCGCTGCCATCCCCGCATCGCACCGCTCCGGGCTGCGGGGAGCTCACAGCGCGGTGCGGTCCTCGCTCCGCTTTCATCGCTCTGAGTGGTCGCGTCGCCTCTGGGCATAATATCGGTGATAACTGGGCACGGCGACGGGAACTGCCTGCAGCAGCGCTGGGTGCTGAGAGGAGCCCTGACCGTGCGCAGCTGCGCCCATCCCGAGAGAGAGAAATGCTGCGGGGGTAGCGGGGCACCGCGCGGCACCTGCGGGAGCGCCGACGGCTGCGGCTGCTCTCATAGCGGCGCCGGGTCTCGGCTCCGGGCTGCGCGGGGCACAGAGCCGGGCGGGGGCACAGTGCCGCGGCAGCCCCGCAGAGGGACACGAGCGTCCGAGAGGCACTGGCTGAGCCCCGAGCGGCTCCGCAGGGAAGCGCGATTCCCCCGTGCCTCGGTGTCCCCGCAACGGCTTTCTGGCGGTTGTAAAGGTGCGCAGGGGGGCACCGGTATTTATGAGCGCTGACAATAGAAGTTACACCTTCCGTGAGAGGGCACGGTCTGACGCCGCAGCCGCCTGGAGGTGACGGCCGAGCCGCGACTCCCCGCAGCGCTCTGTGTCCCCGCGCCGGGCTCCCTCCCCGCGGCGCTCCGAACCCGCAGCCGCTCACCCACCGCCGCGCAGCGCCGAACGCGGGGTGAGGGAAGCTGGAAGGGGCGGATACAGAGCGCACAGCGCGGGACGTGCGGCGTCCGTGAGAAAACGGAGCGGTCGGAGGTTTTTCGGGGTAAACTGCACCTTAACGCAGCGCAGCTCAGAGCACTCTCCCGGCTGCAGGAAGGGCTCTTGCTAAATTTAATAGCAACTTACTGGTGAGCGAGGAACCCACGTAGGCCGTAAGCTATGAACACCCATTGCGATGGGAACGGGGACGCTGCGGGACGCCCCGCCATCCCCCCGGCAGCGCTCCCCCCTCAGGCTGCGGGCCGGGCGCCGGCACAGCCCGATCCCGCAGGCTCTGGGCGCTGGGCCCGCACGGGGAGCAGCGGCGGACCCGCAGCCGGGGGTACAAATGCCGGGAGCAGCGCTTTGCCCTGCGGTGCTCCCGTCCCGGTGTGGCCGCAGGTACCGCAGTGCTCGGACTGTCGAAGGGAGTTTGATAGAATACAGCTGTTAAATAGGAAAGAGTGCTTGTTTGATGGGCGCTGTCACTGATAATAATGTCACCGAGGTGTGTTCTGATTACTGTGATGTGCAAGGTATAGATTGCTCAGATGGATTTTGCTTTCACTGCTTTGCAATAAGAACTGCGAACAAAGCTCTGGTGCACCAGATACCCTGGTACAGCAATACACCCTGACTGCAAAGTGAACAGCCGTATGCACCTTTTAATTTATAGAAACGTATTGTTTTGTGTAAAGAAGGCGGCAGATAATTAACTGTATTCATTTAACCTAATTATAGGCCTCTGAGGCAAAAAGCTGACACTTTTCATTGTGGTACATTCAGAGAAGTTAATTGAAAAAACATTGCAGCCACAAGGCAGAACATGCCCCATGTATATTTGATACTAATTCTTTTTTTTTGAGGACTGGGGTGGATACGATGCCCACCCGAGATAAGGACTGCCGCTGCTCGCGGAGTAGGGCAGATGCTGCGGAGCCGTTATGCAACTCTGCAGCGCTGCAATATCTCTGCAATCCCGGAGCCAACCACAGACAGCTTAATTTGCCAAACTGTGAGCTGGTTTTGTAATGTACACAAGTATCTATTACAAATTAAGAAAGGATTGAGCTCGCTTTTAGCTGGGACGGAGGTCAGGTTTGGAGCACAGAGCTGCGTCTCGAAGTGCCGGCACACTGAGCAGCCCCCAGCCCTCCCAAACCCCCAAGATGAGAGTTTTTCGGAGTTCTCAGTCTATGGGAGCACCGGAGCCGGGTCATTGGCAGTGTCCTCTGCGGTTTCCAGCTCTCAGTATTACACGCTGACAAATGCATAGCGAATCAACGCTCGCAGCTCCCGACTGTATCACAATAAACGCACGACGGACCCTTTGCTCTTATGAGTAATTTCTCCCATCACCTGATGCGCGCCAACAACTCCATCTGACAGCGCTGCCGCTTTCACTCTCTGCAGCAGAGCTTTCCAGAAGAAAGGGGCTGCAGCAGCCCCCCCCCGCGCTGGCTGGGGGCAGAGCCACCACTTCTGCTAAAGAAATCCCAACCCGTGAGCCCGATCGGCACAAATAGCAGTTTTTCCCCCTATTTTACCAACGGAAAGCAGCAGGTGCCCGCGGCTCCGGCAG